TGAATTGTCTAATATTAACATGTCGTCTATGTAAATAAATATGATTGTGCCTCTCTGCCTCCATTTCTTGATAACTTCCTTCATTATTNTGATGAATAACTGAGGGGCTGTACTTAAACCGAACGGAAGGCATTGAAAGTGGTAAGTTTTGCCTTCGAAGATGAATCCTAATAGGACTTTGTGTTGTTTCCTTACTGGAACTTGAAAATAACCTTTCTTTAAATCCAGCTTGCATGCCCACATTCCTTTTCTTATGAATTTCATAACTTTTTGAATGGATTCCATCTTGAATGTGTCTGTGCTTATGCCACCGTTTATCTTTCTTAGGTCCAAGATAAACCTGTATTGGTCTGAACCTTTCTTTGGGACAACGTTGATAGGATTTAGAACTGGATTTAAAGAATAGGCTATAATATGGTTTTGTAACATGGAGTCTATCTCTCTCCTTATCCATGCTTTCTCTTTCTGAGAGAACTTCCTCTGGTGGTAGCTTTTCCATTGGCTGGAATCTGTATCGATTGGAATTCCGTTTTTTATCCAATCTACGATTGTTTCTGAGACGCCGAATTCTTTCCAACGTTGATGGAAATGAGAGAGTCTGCCACCTAGAGGAACCTGCTTGTCACTTATTGACTAAGATTGATTGAGGAGGAGGAATTGGAGTTGTTAGAACCGTATCCATGGTTATTAAATTGTCTTCTTCCAATATAAGTGGTTGGTGTTTGCTCTTGGCTATTGGAATGGTATGAGTGATATGGGACGAAGTGGTTGGACTTTTGATTAAATCTTCTCTTTTGAAAGTTTATTATATTGAGAGACAGGGTTAATAATAATAAATGTTGAATAAGAGAACAATAAGACCATTACAAAAAAAGGAAGAAGACCCTCTTCTTCCTAATCAAAAAAGTAAGGAATCTGTTGGGTTCCTAAACTGGTTAAGAGAATTAATCTGTTCATGGTCTATACTGTTGAGTTTCTCAATGATTGTAGCTCTTGTTGTTGTTTGCTTAATTGGACTTGCATGGAATTTGTGAATCAGGATACCACAGATAATAGAAACTTGTATCCTAAGAAAGGAATGCAAGAATTTGTTAATCAAATGGTGTGGTTGTGGTGAGCATTTAACCATGTTGATTAATAAAAGGAAAGTGTTGTTGATACTTGGAGAAGCAAGTCTTCCTCTTTTAAATTCAACTTTTGCTTCATATTCAGCAGAAATGAAACTTGCAATCAAAATATACTATCAGTAACATGCAAAACTATAAAACTAAAAACGATAATTGAACAATATCTTAATTTTCATTTAGAAACTGAGTCTTTATTAGCTCGTGCTCATAAACCATGTTAAAAATTTTCACTTTTTCAAAAACTTCCTCTTTTCAAAAACGGACCAAATTTGTCGAATTAGATGACCTCAAAGAAAAAATGAAGAGAAGGTATTGTCCTGTTGTTTTACGCTCTCTCCTTGGAGTATCATCATCATCTCGTAGTGGAAAAGGCTTGAATTCAATCAATTTTTCCTCAACTTTGCAAGCCAATCTAACAAAAAACATTTCGAATGGAATGTTATGTTCCGAGAATTTTCATCATCATCATCATCACGGAAGAAGTATTGGCTTGGATTATATTAAAACAGCTTTTAAAGCTTTTTCAAAGAGTGAAACTGTAAATTCGGAACCAAAGACTGCTAGTAGTGAAAAACAAATTCAAAACGAGTCATCTACAAGTACAACAATAATTGATTCCGAATTTTCCAAGGATAAAGAATACAAGAAATTGGAATCCATGGAAAAGAAGAGAAGATTTGAGAATATTATTAATTATTACGTGTTANATTGCAAGAAAAAGCCACTTGCTAATCCAGATAGAGATTTTGCTCTCTACAAATTCTTTTTGAATGCCTTTTCAATGATTAGACAGGCTCACAGTGCTTTGGATTGTTTAAACGAGT